CAATTACGAAAGTAACATTTACAATTCCAGATCGGAAACAACTCAGAATATAGTTCTTTGGTCAGGACAGCTTCTCAGCCATGCACACAGGCAAGACTCTCCATGGCACTAGGCCCCTTGGCCCGGCCTCTGCCCTGCTCAGACAAGTGTTACAAAGCTCTTTAGCTCCACCAGTAAGTGCCCAGAAGCACCCTACTCCACCAGTAAGCCTCAGCCCCAAAACAGCTCAGCTCCAAAATATGGGTGATCAAGCCCAGCTCCAAGAAGTGCCCAGAGGCACCCTATTCCGCCAGCAAGCCTCCTGCCCAAAGGCACTCAGCTCTCTCACTCCATGAATCATCAAGCCTAGCTAAGCCAAGTGCCCAGAGGCAACCCATTCTAACAGGAAGCCTCCTGCCCAAAGCAACTTTCCTGCTCCCTGGGCTGGGAAGTCCACTGTGCCACCTACTGCTGGTCTCCTGGTTCTGCTGTTGCCACTGCTTCTGTTTTGCCCCATCTCTGGTGTTACAGTTCTCTGTCTCCTGAGTCTAGGAGGTTCTTAGCGCAGGGGCCCTGGTCCAAAGGGCACATTCTGCTTCTGGCTCTTATTTCTTAGTGGTATTGGCAGTATTCTTGTTGGAGCTTGGTATCTTATTTCTGCTCTGGGATTGGCTCTCATTTAAGCCTCAAACCAAACTAAACTCACTGCTATCGAGTCAATTCTGACTTATAGCAACCCCCCCGTTGGACTTCCAAGACTATAAATCTTTATGGAAGCGAACTGCCCCATCTTTCTTCCACACAGTGGCTGGTGGGTTTGAACCACTGACCTTTTGGTTAGCAGCAAAATGCCTTAATCACTACAGTACCAGAAACTCACTGCCATCGATTTGATTTCAACTTATAACGACCCCCTTTGGGTTTCGTTTCCAAGGTGATAAATCTTTACAGAAGCAGATCACCTAGTCTTTCTTCCGCAGGGTGGTTGGTGGGTTTGAACTGCCAACCTTCTGGTTAGCAGTCAAATGCCTTAAACACTATGCCATTGGAGCTCCTTCATTTAAGCCTAGCTGATGGCAAAATTGACTAATCCTCTCATTAGGGTTCTATATACCTTATCTGCATGGTTCAAGCCCCACAGGGTTCCATGTACCTTATTTGCATTGTCCTACCCAGTCACTGTGTGGGAGTCACAAAGACTATGGCTAGAAGGGCCTTATTAAGTAATTCACTGCCTTGCAGAAGGAAACCAAAGACTGAGAAAAGAAAATAGTCTAGAGGACTAAATCTGTATAAACCATGGCCTCATCTACCCTAAGACCAGAAGAACCAGATGGTGCCCAGCTACCACTTAATCAGGGCCATGATAGTTGGATCCTGATAGAACAGGAAAAAAAATGTGGAACAGAACTCAAATTCTTAAAAAGTCCAGACTTGCTGGACCTATTGAGACTAGAGGACTCCTTAAGACTTATCACCCTGAGATACTCTTTATCCCTTTTAAGTAAATAACAGATTGACTCATAAAATAAAGAGTATCACCTGTAACTAATGAGCTCCTTTGAAAAATCATCTATAGGAGACCAAGTGGTCAAAAGTTACTCTACAGAAAGATTAAAAGAAAAGGGGGCAGAGATACTAGAGTACTGAAAATGATATAACCAGAATGGAATGAATGAGAATGATGACACAATGTGAAAAAATAACCAATATCACTGAATAATTTGTGTAAAATTGTTAAATGGGAACCTAATTTGCTGTGTAAACTTTTACCTTAAGCACAATAAAATATTAAAAAAAAAAAAAAAAACCTAGAAAGTAACACATGCTACTATAGCATGCTCCTATTGGATCTGTTGCAATCAATGACATAAAACAAAATGTGTATGAATTGTTGAATAGAAAATTGATTCGATCTATAAACCTTCACCCAAATCATAGTACTTTAAAAAAAAAAAAAGTAATGAATGATGATTACTCTTAACACTGCTAGTGAGAATATATATCATAACACCACTTATATAACAAGACAAGAAAAGGTAACAAAAAATAAAGTAGGATAACAGTAAACTGGTTCAAGTGTAAGAAAAGATGCACGCTCCTATATTGCTAGTAAGAATACAAATTGGTACAACTTCTATAGAGGGCAATTTGACAATAACTGCCAAAGTTGAAAATGCACGTATACTTTGACAAAGCTATTTACAGGTAACTTCCAGAAATTTATTCTAAATATATACTAGTATATGTGCAAAATGATGGATATACAAGTATATTCACTGCTGCACTATTCATAACAGAAACATCCTAAATGTCCATCATCTGGAAACAAAAGTAAAGGATAGAACATCTTTGCATGTACAGATAAGAAAAACGATCACGCGGACAAGTACAACACGTGGCGGAATGGAATTAGGCCTGAAGCACCTCATAGGGCAGGATGACAGGCGAGACCAGAAACCCCTAAAGAGGGATAACCTTGTGTTCATATCTGAAGAGAGAGGAAAGCCACACTCACACTCCTCTAGAAAGGACGACTAAGTGGATGTGTATCAGGGCTGAAAGACTTACATTTTACTGCATACCTGTTATACCTTTTAAATTTTGAATCATATATAGCACCTATTAAAAATACATTTTTAAAATGTTTTGAGTTAGAAAGAGATGCACAAGATACTCAGGATCCACAGTAACTTATGGAAAATGAGAAACCAACGAAGGATTTCAGCAGGGAAATAAGAGTCATATTTGCTTCCCAAACTACATCAACCTTAGGGATGACAGTTTAACATTTATCTAGAACTTAAGAGTTTGCACTCTACTTTCACATTCAGTATTTTTCATTTAATCCTCAGAGGAAGAAACTAAGATGCAAAGGCAGCTTACGTGATATTGCCTAAACGGCAAAATCAGTTCTTTCCAGTAATACCATGATCCATGTAAAACGCCAAGTTGCTATTATTGTTAGGTGCTGTCCAGTTGGTTCCCACTCATAGCGACCTTAGGAGCTCTGGTAGCATAGTGCCTAAGGCACTTGACTGCTAACCAGGAGGCTGGCGGTTCAAACCCACCAGCCACTCCTCGGAAGGAAGGTTGGGCAATCCTACTTCCGTAGTGATAACTGCCTCGGAAACCCAAGGAGGGGTCGCTAGGAGTCGGGGCCGACTCGATGGCAAATGACAACAACAACAACATAGCGACCTTATGTACAACATAAGGAAACACTGCCCGCTCCTGCACCATCCTCAAAATCATTGCTGTTTCAGCCCTTTTGTTGCAGCCACTGTGCCAATCCATCTCATTGAGGGTCTTCCTTTTTTTTTTGCTGACCACCTACTTTACCACGCACGGTATCCTTCTTTAGGGACTGGTCTCTCCTGATAACATGCGCAAAGCACAGGAGTCAAAGTATCACCATCCTTGATTCTAAACGCGAAGTACGAAGTCCCCTATTTGGCTTTTCAAATCCTCTCTTGTAACTACAATCTAACTAATTAGTTAACCTAATTAACTAATATCCCACTGTTGGGTATACACAGAGGCGACAGCTCCGCAAACACTTGAAAATAGTTATTCTTAAAACTAATACACTAATAAAATTCACACAAGATAAATGTGCTTCACCGTATGTTAAAGACGTTTAAGGGGGTGTAAAAATGGGAGCCCACGTTTCCCAACTCTCAGACCAGGTGTCTCTACCTTTCAGCATCACGCGGACAAGTACAACACACTTCGGGAATGGAATCAGGCCTGAAGCACCTTACAGGGCAGGATGGTAAGCGAGACCAGAAACCGTAAGGAGGGATAACCTTGTGTTCATATCTGAAGAGAGAGAAAAGCTACACTTACATTCGTACTTCCGATTGACTGGAGGATACTTGGCCTTAACCGCCTTCTGCTCCTCAGTCAAATTGTAATCTCTCACATCTTCCCCCTCCTGCGCCATCATTGCGGCATTGGCCACTTTACTTCCGCCCTTCATCTGCCGGACTTCGGTCTCTATTTACAACTTCCGCTTTCGAGTCCCCTCCCTGGCATACACCTTTAAAGGGCCAGGACTCCAATTTCGGAGCTCACTGAAATACTTTAGGTTCTAAGACTTCGGTCCTAGGCTCCTCCGCCTGGAGTGCACCTTTAAAGTGCCAGTGCCTCATTTTCTGCTCTTGCTTCGTTTAATAGTTTGTAGAAACAAACAAGTTGAAGGACCTGGCAATAGGGGCCCTAAATTAGACACGTCTGGCCCTGAATGTGGGAGTTCTTTTGGCCTAGTGCCTAAGGCATTTGACTGCTAACCAGAATGCTCAAGGTTCAAACCCACCAGGCACTGCTCCGAAGGAAAACTGGGCAATCTACTTCTGTAGAGATACCGCCTGCGAAACCCAAGGAGAGGTTGCTATGAGTCAAGACTGACTCCATGGTAGTGAGTTTAGCCTTAAATGGGTGGCGCTGTGATTAAAGCATTGGGCTGCTAACCAAAAGGTAGTGGGGTTCCAAACCATAAGCCGCTCCCCAGGAGAAAAATAAAGCAGTAAGCTTCCGTGACGATTTTATCTTGGAAACCCTATAGGGCCGGTATGAGTCGGAATCGACTAGATGGCATTCCGTTTCTTAGCCCTGAATAATAGAGGCCTTTTCTCTCCAGAAGCTCCTAGAACTGATAACTAGCCTGAATGCATTCTATCTTATCTGAGTACTTGCAAAGGATCAAGAGTTTTCAACAGCACTTCAGAAAATGGCTGCTTCCCACGAGAGTATGGGCTAAACCGCTCTCACGTGACCCTGGGTGTGCGCACTCCCACCAGCCCCCGCGCTAGCGCGAGCGAAAGTAGTCGTCCCGCGGCCGTGTATGTGGGGGAGGGGGCAGAGCGCGCGCCCCGGCCCCGCGAAAAGCAACTCTGTGCATCTGGATAGGCTGCAAACGCAGCTCCCCCGCCCACCGCGCTGTTCGATGCTCTCGGATTGGCCGATTTTTCGCGAAGGTGCACGAGTCGGGCCTCACGCAGGGGCAGCAGGAAACAATAGAGGCCGCGCGCGCGGAACGAGCGCCCGCAGCCTCCCCGCCCCTCCCGCAACATTCGGCTCCTGGCTCGCCTGCCCGCCTGCCCGCCATGGCCGACAAGGAAGGTAAGGGTGTAGGGGCCGTTCCAGGAGGGGTTAGGGAAGCTCCAGCTATGCTGAAGCGTCGACACGGCCTAACAGTGAGGGCAGGCCCGACTGTGCTGATAGCGGTTCCCACCCAGCGTTGAGGGCATGAAGAGAAATCACCCTGCGGGGTGGGCTAACTGCGCGCCAGTACCCTCAGGGGTACTAAGGAGGTGCTTGTCGCAGCAGGGTGTTTCATCCCTCTTCTCACAGTTGGGTAGCGTCTTCGCGCTCCCGTCCGCCTATCCGCTTCTTTCCCGGGCCTCCTTGCATGGATTCCTACCCCCAGGAATCAGTGTTCAGGCCTCCCCGCGGATCCTGTAGAATTATCGCGTAGAAGCGTGCCCCGAAGGCTTGACGCTGCGTACTGGAAGCGGAATGTCTTACTGCCATGACCCGAGAATAGTTTGGGCCCCAGGAAGGTGAAGGGGGGAATTGGTGCCTCTGCCTAGGGAGGGTTTGGACAAACGTTCCTCCATTTCAGAACCAGAACTCAGGAGCCATGCTGGTAGTAGTACCATGTGTACTCAGTTTCCATTTGTTTGCTAAGTTCATGTCTTTTTATATTTTTTAGCAGCCTTTGATGATGCTGTGGAAGAACGTGTGATTAACGAGGAATACAAAATATGGAAAAAGAACACGCCTTTTCTTTATGATTTGGTGATGACCCATGCTCTGGAGTGGCCCAGCCTAACTGCACAGTGGCTTCCAGATGTAACTAGGTGATGTTAATCTCTTAATACACTTAATTCTTTTTTGTATGTTTCCGGTGTAGAATGGTTTTTCCATTGATTTCCACCCCCACATTCCTATTTTCCTCTGTTGATTCACCCAAAGAAGGCACATGATCAAAACCTATTGGTGACATTTTTTTTAAGGCCAAAATGTATGGCAAAATCTAAAAATATTTTTATTTATCTGAGGAGAAAAAAGACGTTGGTGTTTTTCTGTGATAATGAATTGAATTGCCATATTGCAATTGTAATTGACGAAGTAATAACCTAAAACACAGATTTCAGAAAGTATGATGAGTCCAGTTCTGTTGACAAAACATGGTGGAACTCTTCACAGCCTTGGGTTTGGTATTGTCTGGTTAATACAAAAGGAAATAAGACATGGTACCTGCCTTCAAGGAGCATGTAGTCTAGTCGAAGAGTTGTATGTGATGAGAACAGTTAATTGAGAGCTACTTAAAATAAAACTAAACCCACTGCCATTGAGTAGATTATGGTTCATAGCCACCCCCACGGGATTTCTAAGGCTGTAAATCTGTATGGAAGCAGACTGCCTTGTCTTTCTCCTGAGGAGCAGGTGATGAGTCGGAACTGCCAGTCTTTCAGTTAACAGCCCAGTGTCTTAACCACAGTGGCACCAGAGCTCCTTAGGAACTGCTGTGGTGGGAAGGGGAACTATTGCCATGGAGTGAATCATGTGTGTAAAGTTGTTGTTGTTGTTGTTATGTGCCGTCGAGTCGGCACCGACTCATAGCGACCCCTTCTTGGGTTTCCGAGGCAGTATCACTACGGAAGTAGGATTGCCCAACCTTCCTTCCGAGGAGTGGCTG